CTGTCTGGATGATTACTCAATCATTTCTTCTGGTTTTGCTGAACAACACAGAAAAGGTTTAATGTTGTTTTGTAAGAGATCATCACTATTAACTGAAATAAATTTAAATTCATCATTCAAAGAGTACATAATAGTTAAACTATGTGTTTCTAATAGAAGTTTCTTTGTTTATAGAAGTCCAAACTCTAATGTTGGAAATAATGATCTTTTGCTGAAGTTGATAAATGATGTGCTGGCATTACCTGGTGAAACCCTATTGTTTGGGGACTTTAATTTTCCTGACATTAACTGGGACACGTCCAGTTTTGAAGGTAATGAGAGGGTTGAAAACAGATTTTTGGATCTTCTTAAAGATAAATTTTTAATACAACACATCAATCATCCAACGAGATTTAGAGATGGTCAGACATCAAATATCCTGGATCTGGTGATTTCATCCCAGGAATTTATAAATAACATCATACATTACCCACCTCTAGGTAACAGTGATCACTCAATTTTGGAATTCAAGGTGACTGGTTTTTGTTGTTCAGCCATGGAATGTGATAAAAAGTACTGTTTTGATTTGGGTGATTATATAAATTTTAGAAATGTACTGGGGGTCTCCTTGCAGGTTCCTTCTTCTTGGTGTGGTGATGCAGAGGATAATTGGAAATTTTTCAGGGACCAATTAGTCACTTGTTCTCAAAAGTTTGTTCCGATGAGAAGAAGAAGAAGAAGAATATATTGCAATTTTAAAATAAATGAAAAACTAAAATCTCTTATTAAACAAAAGCATTTGATTTAGAGATCAATTTACAGATACGGTGTAGACAAAATGGACAAATATTGTTCAATCAGAAATGAGATAAAGAGACTCGCCAGTGTCTTGAAAAATCAATATCAGAAATCTATTGCAAGAAATTTCAACAGAAATCCAAAATTGTTTTGGAATCACGTAAAAAAAATCACTAGGCGTCATGAGTCTATTGGTACTCTGTCAACTGATGGGAGGGTCGTTGCCTGTGATGATGAAAAAGTCGAAGCGTTTGCAAATTTTTTTTCTTCCGTTTATAAATTGGATTCAAATTTTGAGAGCCAATTTTGTGCTATAATTGGAAATTCCTATCCGACTATGGACGATTTATCTATTGATGAAAATATGATTCTTTCTAAATTGAAACAACTAGTGACAAGCAAATCAGCGGGACCGGATGAAATTCATTCCAGAATTTTATGGGAAATGAAAGATTTTGTTTCTAAAGGTTTGTGCAGAATTTTTCAACGTTCATTGGATGAAAGTGTGGTATTTGATGATTGGAGAATTAGTCACGTTGTTCCCTTGCACAAAAAAGGACGCAAAGATTTAGTTCAGAATTATCGTCCAATTGCGCTTACATCAATTTGCTGTAAGATTCTGGAGTCATTAATAAAAGATCACATTATGGATTATTTTCTGAAAAATAATTTGTTTTCAAGTAATCAATTTGGCTTCATCCCAGGTCGTTCAACGGTTTTGAATCTTTTGAAATTTTTGGACGTGGTGACTGAAAGAGTAGATCGTGGTTACGAAGTTTGTGTGGCGTACTTGGACCTCGAGAAGACGTTCGATAAAGTATCCCATAGTCGTTTGTTGTTCAAGCTTGAACAGTATGGTGTGAATCATAAGATAGTAAAGTGGATTGATAAATATCTTCAGGGCAGGGTGTCTCAAGTCAAGTTAAACAACACTTTATCGAAACCAAGACCTGTCTTGAGTGGAGTCCCTCAGGGTGGTGTTCTAAGTCCTCTGCTATTTCTCATCTATATTAATGACGTTTCTTCCATTTGTGATAGTATGTTCCTTTTCGCTGATGACGCAAAATTATTTAAAGTAATAAAGTGTGAGAAAGATAAAATAAATTTTTTGAAAGATTTCGTGAACATGATGAATTGATTTAAAACTTGGAGGTTGAAGTTGAATTCAAACAAATGTCAGCTCCTAAGAATAGGATCGAATAAACCAAGCCCGCCATTTACTATACTGGATAATGATGGTTTGACGTTTCAGTTACCTGAGGTTGAGGAAGTATTCTGATCTGGTGATTATTATTGACAACAAGTTGAAGTTTAAAAATCATGTGCTAAAGGTAGTTCATAAAGCAAATAGTATGCTTGGAATTATTGCCAGAAATTTCAAACACCTTTCCGAGGCAGCATTAGTAACCTTGTTTAAGTCATTGGTTCGTTCGCACCTAGAGTACGGCGTACAGGCATGGCATCCTTATAGAATTGGTTTGATAGATGAAATTGAAAAGGTTCAGAGAAGAGCTACGAGAACAGTGAATTCTTACAAGGAACTTCTATATGAAAATAGATTAAGGAAACTTAATTTTCCCTCTCTTGCCTACAGGCGTCGTAGAGCTGATCTCATATTGCTGTATAGAATAATCCATGGGGAATTTATGGAGGATTTCAGTCCAAGGGTAATGTTCTCTTGTTATGATCGAACTCGAGGTCACAATCTGAAGTTAACTACAGGTGCTTGCCACAAAGACAGTAGGAAGTATTTCTTTTCTAACAGATCAGTTGATGATTGGAACAAATTGCCCTCAGCTGCTGTAAATTCATCCTCTCTATGTGGTTTTAAATCGGCAATAGACAATTTTTTTGTAGATGTCATGTTTGATTGGAGGGCTAATTTCTGATAATTTCTGATAATCTCAATAATATTGTGTCTTTTGTTTATTTTCCTATATTTATAAATTTAAATTTTCGTTGACTCAATTTTTTTTTTATATTCTCTGTTAAAAATCCCTTTGTTTCGGTTCGTCTTCAATTTTGGTTTTTTATTATATTTGTGATTGTATTAACTAGATAGATTTAGTTGTTGATTCAATTTCCTGTTTGATTGCCACAGTAATGACTTTGTTAAACATCTAATGAAGCTAACTCATTTAATTTTATAATGACAATTTGATTTTTATCTTAATCAGTTTTTAATTTTTAAGGGTTTATTTTTGTTACTTTTGATTTTTCGATTTTTATTTGGTTGGCAATGGGCTATGCCCGAGCTATTTCTAATAATAATAATAAAAAGGGGAAAGTTAGTGTTTTAAGTTAGTGTTTTGGATTAGTGTTTTGAATTAGTTTTTGGGTTTATTGTGGTTGGTAATTGGTCGGTCGGCTCCTGCATGTTTGGTTGCTCTGGCGTTTCTCGTTTTGGAATTTCATTCATTATTAAGGCTGGTAAAAATATTTTTCGTTTACTAAAAATATTTAATTTAGTTCTGTCGTTGACTTTAAAAACATTTGATTTAAAGAATATTATAAGTCAATATTATTTTGTTTGTTTTATTTTTATTTATTAATAGAATTATTTCAGTTAGGTTTTGTTTGTCATTTTAAAAAACTAAAACATTTTTGAAAAAGACTTGCAAGCGGTTAATATAGCCGGATTAACCGACCAGCAAGCAGGGCGCGATAATTCTTCCGCCCAGCCCGTATTTTCCGAACCGGAAATAAAAAGTTGTGAAGAGGCGAGTCCCGGCCAGAAGCGAAACTGCCTAGGCTGGCGGCAGCGGTTGTTGATATTCAAGAAAAAGAAAAATTTCGCCGCGTGGCAAAAGTTCACAAAAGAAACCTAAGAAAACATGTCATTACTTCTGCAAAAAATACGCTATTGTGAATACAATTGGAGTATACGCTGTGACTTAAAAGTAGCAGCTATTCTGACAGGATTGCAGGCAGGATACACAAAATACTGCTGCTTCCTATGCGAATGGGACAGCAGAGATAGGATAAAGCATTACGTTAAGAAGAATTGGCCAATCAGGAACAAAATGCAGCCAAGAAATAAAATGTTCAACATCCACCGTTGGTTGACCGTGACAAAATTCTTATGCCACCACTTCATATAAAGTTGGGACTTATGAAAAATTTTGTAAAAAAATTAGCTTTTCAGTACCTGCGCAATAAGTTCCCAGGATATAGTTATGCAAAGGTAAAAGAAAGTGTATTCATAGGCCCACAAATAAGAAAAATGATAGCTGATGATGTGGCCTGCACAAGACTATTTAATATTTATTGTTTTACATCGGTTTTGAAAATCAGGTTGATCTAAGTTACGTTTCATTATTTTGTGCTGATTTTGAACAAATGATTTGATTAACATGATTATTTATTTTTCTCTGTTAGAGACATCAGTTTCGTTCACGTTTCTGTCACCTTAAAGCTCTTAGACAAAATGATATAAACAATAAAAAAAAATTTTCGAAAAATAAAAATAGAAAAACAAAAATTAAAATTATTTCTCGAACTTGTCATCCAAAATAATATTTCCGATGGAGCAGCCCAACATTAATTGAAAGTGATCTCCTCTTCCTATTGAAATTTCACATGTATATATATGCATACAAATGTGCTTCACGTGTTTATATATGCATATGATATGTATGCATGTATAAGCGAGTGTATGGAGCCCTGTGCAGACCAGATTTTTCCGAACCGCGACCGCATAAGTTAGCAACCTCCAAGTCCACAACTTTCAGATTCAGATACGCTATGCTATAAATCCGAGTCAGCGTTTAAAAGAACAAAAGTAAATTGCGATTGTAGATTCCGGTATAAAATTGGAAGTGTTACACATTGTGACAATATACTTGAATAATTACACTATGATAGCAACGAAGCAGAGCACTATTGACGTTTTAAGCAAACTCTAATAAAAATTGCACTATCAAATATAAATTTTGAAATTATGTCTGAACAAAAAATAAATATTAGAAGACATAAAATCCAAAAAATTGGGACCGGCATCCGAAGCAAAGCGCACATTAAAATCCGCAAATTGCAAAACTGCGGAGTTTTAGAAATTTTCATCTGTGGTGGGGTTACCGCGGTTTGAAGTGGTATTGTGGTTATCCGCACAGGGCTCTAGGTGTGATATATTGCATGTTGGAAGTGGAGAAAGTTTTCGTCAGTGTAGTCCTATGAAAGAATATAAATGTGCATGTTAACAATTCAAATGCACGAATCATGTTTTGATAGTTTTATTAAGTTATTTCCCAACCATTAATATTGATCATTTTCGTCTGTCAAAGTCTGAATTTTTTAAGAATAATAAAAGTGAATAAACTAATATTAAGTTTAAAATTTTCTATTCACGTGTTTTGCGCACCAAAATTTTTTTGAAATCGAAACTGATCGGATGAAACCTCAAAAGCTAACTCAAAATGCTCACAACGCAATGCAGGAACAGAGATTACCGAAGAAATATGGTTGCGGTTATGAAATGCAGCTAAACCGTCCAAAAACCAGCAAAATACAGTAAGACCTCCGTATAACGAATTTAATGGTTCCAGGAAAAAAATTTGTTATATAGAAATATCGTTATATAGAATTTGTTCGGGAACCTAAAAGGTGTTTATATGCTATATATTAATGAAAAGCAACCTCCTAATCATTAATTTTGATAACAGAAAGTAATAAAACGTGGCATAATTGTTAACGATAAAATTTTTAAAACGATAGTCTTTTCATACAACGCTGATTCCGATTCCATTAAAATAAATTGAGATAAATTGAAAATTACTAGAATAATAGAACAAGAAACAATAAATATGGTTTTAGGATATTGAAGGAGTACAAAAACACTGCTGATATCAATTTATATATTTGATGGACAGATATTTCCTATAACTTTTACATTTTATGCTTATAGAGAAATTATTTTCGTTCTATAGAAACAGTTTTATTCGTAAAAAACCAAGGGAAATAAAGAAAATTCGTAACATAGAAATTTTCGTTGTATAGAAGTTCGCTATATAGAGGTCCGACTGTAATTTATTAAAATTGAGTGTTTGTTATTAAAAATATGAAAGTTCAGTACCTGTCAAAATCGGTTCCGCTCGATTAGCTTCAAATAATGAAGCTATACGATTTTCCTGAAGATAGATGAAAACGATATACCTTAGACGTGTTTGATTCAACGTTTCCATCACAATGCATCTCACTGCTCGATAGTTTGCATACAAATGCATGCCAGTTAGAAGAAGGAAGAGTAGCCAAACGATGCTAGAACAGGTAGATCAATTTATCTACTATTTATTTTTTAAATCTCAATCTCTTCAAGAATTTCTTTAAAATAAGGAACTTATTATGAATAAATACTTTAAAGGAGCAACTATAAATAATTAATATTCGTTCCAAATTACCGACATTCATTTTGAAAACAAAATGAATGTATTAAATGCAGAATATTCTTTACAGGATGCAAATAAGAATTGTCGATGGTAAAATATCAATTCAACAAAATTACATTATTCCAACTTTATGTCTGCTTTAAAATGATTTTTTTAAATCTTCAAAAATTACTTTAATAACATTATTATGCTTAAATTAAATATACATATTTAATCAGTGATGACGAGTACTTAAACATTTGTACTTAAGTACGTACTTAAGTACAAATGCAGTACTTAGATGCTTATACTTAAGTACATATGAAAACCG